ACAGTCGTGCTGTGGTTGGTTTGCTGAATATTCAGGTCTTGTTGTAGTGTCATTTGTTGAACAGTAGGGACATGGGCCATGGTCACGAGAAGTGCATCTTCTCTGAACTACCGACTGCATCGAGAGTCCTCTAGTGCATGATATATACGTGCTCGTACAGAATTTGCCTGCAATCATATACTCTCGTTGTAGTAGTGACATGTTGCACCTGATGAGAGAAGACGCATGGATTGCCGTGAGATCTTCTCTGGGCACTCTATGTGCTCGAAGGTTGTCCAGGTACATGGCGCGCATCCGCAAGAGTATCAGTGTACTTCAATCTAGCATGCTGCAGCTACGTTGTGAGCAAGTACTCGTACCCAAGGCAAGTAAAATGACCTCTGTCGTCTCCACAAGTTCACATCTGTGAATCATCCGAACGGTTCCTCATGTCCGTCCACAGCCTGCAGATGCCGAGCGATCGGTATATGTCATGCTCGCTATGAACGAGGTAGTTTAGGCTCAATGGATTGGCCATGGCTTGATTCTAGATCTTGACGCACCATCCTTTCCGAGACTTTGGCATGATCTCCGATGCGATCGCCGTGCATTCAAGTCGTTGGCTAGGTCTCGTGTGCAACTCAGACCCATATGTGTATCGGCTTAAAAATCTTCATGTTGAAAGATGGCGACTGCACACAGCGGTGTGATATACGCCTTTGATGATGTGGAGAGCCGGAACGTGGGCACTAACACTGCCGCTTGACAGTGGCCGAAAGCTGACGTTCGAGAACGGCAAGGAACAGGTAGTCACTCCATGCGGCGTGTGCCTACGGAATAGGTAAGTGCATAGGGGGGCGGGGTCACTTGTAGGGTGCAAACAGATTGTTCTCGGTATCATATACGTGCGCCGTTTGCCAACATAGCCATCGATGTTGGTTTGCTGACAAGACGATATTGAGCAGTCTTGGTAAAGGCACAGGACGCCGGACAGGAAGGTTGCTGGGTAACGGACAAGTTCTTCGCTAGTCCTACACACCTGCCCTCAAACGTCGGGACGTGAGAAGACGACCGGCCACGCGCGCTGAAAGAGGCCAGCGAGCGGGCGTGTGGTCCAATGTGAACATCGACTCAAGCTCTGTAGCTGACCGAGACACGAAAGATGTTAAGGAACGGAGCCGATAGGGGCGTGGCTCGCAGTGGCTTATTGGCTTGGCGACACTGTTTAGAGTGTTGGGTGCCGTGACGGCGAGACAGTTGCAGCGACTTCCAGGCTATACCTCCGGCACTAACGCACTGCGCAACGAGTCCACCTCCATGTTCAACAGGACAACACAATCTTCATCATCATCCGCGCCATGGAGGGGCAACGCAACTTCCAACGCTTGCCGGAAAGTTACGTTGACAGCGCTGCTCCTCGCGACATGCCCTGTAGCGGCTGCATTCTGGCGCTGTAGTGTGAGCCTTGTTGCCGCGCAGGGGGCAGGCTTTGGCGAAGGCGTTGGGGACCGCGCCGCCAGAGACAACCGCGTCCCGTTTTTTCTGGCCAGAACGTCGCTCGATTTGGCTGCGTTTTATTGCATTGTACAAACCAGTGCATATCCAGCCTATCATAGTCATTCCGCTCACAGACCGTGATTCGGTCGAAAGCTTCTATTACCCGAATCGCGTGCCAGTCATCAGCCGAAGAAACGAGTTTTGCTTGCACGGGGCCGTCGTGGCTTGTTAGCTGCTAGCAGGCCAGGCATGGGCGCCGGTGGCTTGAAGGATTCGCTGCTTGCATGGCAATCATCATAAGGGCCGGCCGCTCCTCATGCTTGGACACGTTCTGGCTGCTAAATAAATCGACGAAAGGCTGTTCGTGCCGTTCTTCTGGCTGCGATCGACATTGATAAGCAAGTCCCCCCAGCTGGCCGTCACTCTTTGCCTTTTCCTAGTCACCACCGTTACCCTACCCCTGACGGCCCGCAAAAAGCCCTCGGACACTTGCTGAACCACTGCAAGGTACCCGAATCTGAGGTTGGACGAAGTACCTAGGCAGTCATTGACAGTGGCGGCAAACCTCCTTGTCACAGCAACGGTACCTACGTACGGCCATGGGTATCCGGATTCCGAGGAAATTCTGCGGTTAATAATAGCATCCTCGACTGCTATAGTACCGTTTATTGGAGATGAGTCCTCAATGTTTCGAATGCGAGTCGGTAGCGATCCTGTCGCACCATGCTCCCCTGCCAACGCGGAGGAGGCAACACGAAAACCGCTGCCGCGGTGTCCCCTTATATCTTCGAGTGTCACCACGCATCGGCCGACAGTTTCGCGCGCTGCTTCTGCTGCTCGTCATATCTCTATCCTGCAGTTCCCAGGCTGCCCCCGTATCCGCAACGGAAGCCTATGGTGATCGACCGGCCCTGCTCGTCGAAGACGACCTTGCCTGGACAGGATCGGCGTTATACCTGGATCTCAGCCCACCACCCACCGCGTCGCGATTGATGCCTCCTCTAAAACGCGACGACGATGTTACCCGCACACCCTCTGCAACTCTTTCGGAACGCGCCATTACAACAGACTCTGATGGCTCTGGCACCGGATTCAAAGTCCCCACGGCATTCGATACTGGCCTATCAAATAATTTCACAAACTCATGCGCAAACTTCCTTAATCGCCTACGTCAGAGTCAGGCATTCAACGACTGCCACCCATTCTCCTTGCTATTGCAGGTATGGTACTTCAATAATACGAGAGAGAAGAGTGTGGCTAATCAGTACCATGCAGACGTCAAGCGGTTTCTTCGACGCCTCCAAATCTACACTACGCATCACACAGACTCTCGATGCAACCTGTGGAGTAAACGCAGCACAATGCAAACCTACCCTGGATAATTTCGCAGTAGAGCTGCTATCGGAAATGGCATGCAAAGCCGATTACGACACCGACAATCCCCTGGTGCTACAGGCTTACAATGGCCTCGTTGCATACCAACCGTCTTACCAAGCAAGCTGTTTGCATGATGACGAGGGAAACTATTGCTTTGCGAACGCCGTCAGCAACATGTCATCACCGGGAGATGCCTACCCATACTACCTACCCATTGGCCAAGAACTTCCCGGCGGATCAAGGCCAACCTGCAACTCGTGTTTGCAACAAGCAATGGGTGTATTTGCCACTTACAGCAACAACGCAACACAACCTCTTTCAAAAACCTATACCTCGGCCGCTCAGCAAATATCAATAGCATGCGGCTCGACGTTTGTCAACGTCACGGCCGCCCCACTCAAAGGGGCTGCATCGACGACGACCACCACCACAATCACACCCACGATAAGCTTGATCTTAATGTTTTTACTTTACTTCTTCCAGTGATGGAGCGATACCCTATACATTCTATACTTGTAAATACTTTACCTTAGTTATTATTGATATCAGGATCGACTGGTCATTAGCGACGGCGCTTGGGAGGATTCTTTTTTGGCCGTCTTGGATTGTTGCAAACCTGGCGGGATAGTCATGGGGTCCTCTGGCCCATAACGTTGGCTTTTGCCGCGATCCGGCCTGTCGAGGCACGACGAGACACTTGGACGTGTACACAGTTCGCCATGAGTGAGGCGTCTTTTCTGTACACCAATAACATTGCACAGACTGTGATCGAATGATCAAAAGTCAGCTACGCACAAAGCAGTTTTTTGAACTCGTTTCACGAATACAAGTATCGAGGGCTTGATTAGTGATTGGCTGTGAGTCTGTCGGTGTAATATGAAGGGCCATGGCGCAACCCATGAGCCTGGGATTCTTGGTCACCGATGCCACATACCCAGGTAATCTATCCGTCACGATCGCGCCTTTGGGTCCGCTCCCGCTGACGATTTGCCTATACCCTGTCCCCGTTGTTGTCATTTCGTTTCGGCCGACGCACTTGTTTCCGAAGAAAAAGAAATTACAGCATAGCGCGCGATGGATATGGTGACTCCATGTAAGGCGGACAAGGACAATATGTGGATCTGCGAACGTCACACGTCAGCGCATGTCCGGCTGTGGGTTTGATCACCTGCTCGGCATGTCTTCTCGATCTCCTCCGAACAAGCCTGAAACGTGGCGGACCCTCGTCACGTGGTGATCAGCCTTGCGGGGTGCCGTGATTTGACAGAAAGCGGTCGCCTGGGACGTTACACATCAACGTTGTGCTTCAGCTTCCCGTTGTCGGACCTTTTGTACAACGTCGATAACATGCACTTGATTTGCGCTATGGACTTGATTGCGTCCATGTCAAGACCGGCTGTGGTAAGGAATTGCCAGGTCGGCCGGCATGCCCCGTGGACCAATTCAGCAGAACAACGTTGGTTTCCCGCGCCGCGGTGGAGCTGTGGACTGTCCTGTCATCTCCAACGCCCTCCATCCTTGCATGGATGATCCGCGCAGCCCTTGGTCGTCAGCTGTGCCAGGCCAGCCTCTTCCTGGCTCTTATGTCAAACACTTCATGCGTTTGAAAGGCCCGACCAGTCTTCTGCCAGCCGTGTCCCATGCACTTTCTTGTACCTGAGACGTCCAGCTTCGCCGCGAGGGTTAGCTATGCGTGTCCCTTCCACTCCTCTCATTCCCTCATGACTTGTACTAATTGACAAAGTCGATATTAATCGGGCTGGCCTGTCTCTTCATCTTGCTTCACGGCATAGTCACTCTCTTTGTTGCCACCACGCTCCTTAGACACATTCATTATCGACGTCTCCTCGAATACTTTTCATACATCCGACACCGTTCCTTGACCGCTACCTCCGCTTGGACTAATACACGACATTCCATATCTCGACCCTACGATGGCCGACGTCATGGCTCAACAAAGCATGTTATCTGCGCCTGCATCCAGACAAGACATTGTCAGCGCACTACTTAACGACTATGGCAACTCTTTTGGCCGAGGCGACGCATCTCCTTCAACGTGGTCGCCCGTACCTGCGGACAAAAAGCTTCCTGCGCCGCCGTCACGATCAGATAGCGGCGCACGTGAACCGCTTCCAGCTGCGTTGAGAATGGAAGCAAAGTTTCAGTTGAGAGGTAAGCAGAGATCACACAAATTCTACTATAATGGATTGCATCCGTGTTTGGTTATTCATCAAGAGCTCGCTGGTACAGACTGTGTGTCATATTGCAACCTCGATTCCGCATGCCAATGTGCTGTATGCGTGGTGATACATCATCGTTGCTTTGTCGTCGCTCAGAGAGCCGCATGGACAAAGCCATCATATCATAAACCCGAGCGAATGGTGCTAACAGAGAACAGATGACCAAGACGCACCTGTTCTCCCAAGGAGTCCGGTGCCAGGCTCCCCACCTCGACCAAGGAGGAGGATCGAGTCACGTAGCCTATCTCGCGAATCTAAGCCAGCATCTCTCAAGCTTACCATCAGCAACGGTTCAACAGCGACTGTGCCCCCTACCCCAGCATTCCCAGCACGATCAGAGTCTCTCCCTTCTTCAGCAATAGAGGAGAAAGATCTTCCACCTCCACCACCTGCAAAGTCCGAGAGGCGGAAGTCGGTTAAGCAGTCTGATGCGGGAAGCCAATCGTCAAGGCCAGCGACGGATCTCGCGAGAAACGATTCGCTTCTTTCCCAAGGCGAAAGCAGAGACTCTACGGAGACGTCTACTACAACCACATCATCGGTTATTGGGCGCAAAGCAGTACCAGACCAAGGTCTCAAAAAGTTCAAAAGTCTGGCAGAACTGAATAACGGACCGCGAGGAAGGAAGGGCGCTCCAATGCCCCCCACATCAGCGCCCAGAACTTTGAGCGTTGATAGCCAGCGATCAAATGCTGTCTCAAGGAAAGGCAGTGTCGACAGTCAAGCAAACATGCCCGAGGCTGCCGCACCTCAGCCCGCCGAAAAGCTACGAAAGACGGAAGCAGAGCTCCCACCGACACCGGGGGAAGAACAAGACACCAGGGTCCCTGTACCACCTAAGAAAGTCTTCACGGGTCTTCCCTCAAACCCTCGTATCAAAGCCCCGGCATCGCCCCTTCACTTCCGCGGCAAAAGCAGCACAGGCTTCAATGTCTTGAAGGTATATATCTGCCTCCCCTTTCCCTCTCCAGTACTTGTACGATAGTTGTCGTACTGCGTTGCAATGTTCGCAAACTCAAGGGTACCTGGATCCTGTTCCAAAAGAAGAATACTGTTTGCTGACTGAGATCTCGTAGGCAATGAGGCCGGCTCCTCCAATCCCCACGATGGAATTGCACACCATTACGCCTGAGATGACACCTTCCCCGACGTTGAAGCCAGTCCTAGCAAAGAAGGATGCTGAGATCTCTCCGGTTTCCCCACTGCCACCACCAAAAGATGAGAGGCGGCCTTTTAGCTTCGAACCTGCTGTTGCCACCACTGAGACCAAGCAAAAGTCAACAGAGCAGGAAGAATACCTCGCAATGTCGGAATTACCACTTCAAAGCACCACTCCACCAGCTGAGACCCGACTACCCATGCGCACCACATCACTAGACCCACCCGAACCATCCCCGGGCTTCCAACGACCCACAAGTGCCCCATCATCCCGCCCAACATCATCCGACCTCCAAGATTACAACCTCTCCCCCTTCCCAGGACCTTCCGTTCCAACATCACCCGTTGACGGCTTGCGCACAGAGCCCACAACGCCACCCACACCGCCTCCCTTCGAGCCCCTAACCCGCCGACCAATCCCTTTGCCCGTGTCTTACATTCCACGTATCACGCCCGCACAACTCTCCTGCTACACAAGACATTGCCACAACATCTGGTCTAACAATATATTCCAGCCCATGGGCTGCATGGTGTGCCATGAGAACGACAAAGATAGGAAGTGGGCGTGTACGTGGTGTCAGTTGCGGATTTGCCGTAGCTGTAGTGAGGATCTGAGGGCGATTCCAGGCAGAGACTTGGGAACGCTGATACAGAAGAGAGAGAAGGGGGAGGTCATGGCGCCGGGAATGAAGCTCAAGGAAGACAGGTTTACGATGGTTGTTGAGGACATTGATGGTGAGGAAAGGGGAGAGGGAATGGATAGTGAAGGTGTTGCGTAAGGTTTCTTTGGGTTTGGGTTGGGTGTCCGGTTGTCTTCTTCCCACGCGCAGTGCAGGCGCGCATCGGGTGGATGAATTGCTTCATCACATGATATCACATTTACGCAACGTTGGAGTTGGATGGGAAGTTATACCTAGAATGCTGCGCATCGTTTAGCTAGCTTGGCGGCCTTCACGGCAAACTTGATTACCGTATTGACTCAATGGTATCTTGCCGAGCCAGTGTTGACTTCGTCATCTTTCGTACATGTTCTACTTCGTCTCCTTCATCTCCTGCAGTATCCTCACAACCTGGGGTAGAACCTTCTCCGCATTCTCACTTAAGCGCGCAGCTTCCCGGCCAGTATTGGTGTCCGCGACGTTTCCAAAAAAGGTTTCCTCGCCCCGGACACCACCCATGTTGAGTATCCCAATCGGCATCTGCATGTCCTTTGCTTTCTTCACTAGCCGCCAGGCAGAGTACGTTGCAAGACTACTTCCAATGACGAGTATCCTGCCTGCTGCATCGACTGCCTCTTCCGCAGCGACTTTTGTGGCAGCGGGTATAGACTCGCCGAACATGATGACAGCAGGCTTCAGCACTCCGCCTTCGCTCGCCGGGTCCCAGGCGCCATCCTTGTCGACTTGTACGTGGACCTTGCCTCCGTCTGCGCGCTTTGGCGGCTTCTCCAAGCACGTCGGACACGGCGGGTATCGGAATGTGGTGTACGGGGCGTTGGGCACGTCGACGTCACCATCTGGGTTCGACTTGAGCCCTTTCTTGCGGCGCTCGTCGGGGTTCTCGGTGTCTAGGGCGCCCGATTCGATCATCTCGGCGAGGAAAGCGGCCCAGGAGGGGTTCAGGGTGGTGAGTTGGCTCTGGAAAGCCCGGCGCGAATATTCGTTGCGACAGGTGAGGCAGACGAGGTTGCGCAGGTAGCCGTGTAGCTCGATGGTGGAGAGGTCGGGGTGCGCCGTTGGGTGGAACGAGTCTACGTCTGCTCAACTCGTTAGCATGCTGTGACGTTTGCCAGGGAGAACATACTCTGCGTGATGATACTTCCAACAACACCCATACGCCCCAACTCGCCACAAGCCTCGTGGGCCTTGTTTGGCTTGGCCTTCTCTAGGTTCGTCCAGCCGAGGAAACTCCTGGCCCAATACCTCTTCCTCGCTTCGTGGCTGTCACAGAACTCGTGAAAGTAGACGGGCCGGTACGTCTTGTTCAGTGTGTAGGTGCCATTTGTGCCTCTGTAATCGGCCAAGCCAGACGCTACCGAGATACCTGCCCCCGTAAGCAGCAGCGTCTTGTCCGCATGCTCGCCCCGACCAAGCCGAGTCGAGAGGCTCGATTGCGCCGCCCTCGAAGGCGCACCGGACGTGGACAGGGACGGCGACAAGAAGTCGACCAAAGCCGCGATGGCACCGCTCGCCGTCGTCGCGCTCGCGGGAATCAGCTTAGGTGCCGGGAGGGGATCGGTATAGGGAACGCGAAGCAGAGGGGCTCGGGGCATCGCGCAATCGCACACGCTCAAACATTGTAATTTCTCGCGTCCACCTTCGCAGAAGCCAAAGGGCGGATTGGGGCCAGCAAGCGCGCGTGCGGCCAAAACGGTGGTTATGTCATGATACGTTTTTAGCGCGGCACCATCGAGGTCCGGGGCCCGAGATGGATTTCTAGCCTGCGCGTCCGCACGAGTTTGTCGCGTGGTAAGCCGACGGATAGCTATCGTGCCGCTGCAGGAATACGTATAATTGGGGGCTGCAAGGTGCTGCGAGTTTGTATTGGGAGGTTGCGGGGTGGGGTAGAATATAGGTGCAGTGTGAGGCTGAGTGCATGTGGGGGGCTGTGCTGTAGCTGTCACAACAACGGCACAAACTCGAGAATGAAGCGCTCGATGAGGGCTACTGTCATGACTCGTGGGCGATCACAAAATCGATGCAGCCGAGTCTCTGTGATTGCTAGTAGGCTGAGATATGTACAGTAACGGATCGGACTTGCTCTGGATGTGTGACAGTATGACAGCCATTGCGAACCATGGCCGCGACGTGGAATAAAGGGATGAAAAAATGTAACATTGACAAGAAATATATGGCTACATCATCGACAAGGGCCCTCTCCATGCCCAAGTGTTACCATGAAAAGCATGTACTGGAAACTTCGAAAATGAAAAACGCCAATTAAGCCTTCCTCGCATACCCGGTCCAGGTGGGAATGAATGTCCGGTTCCTCCTTCCTGATTACAGTCCTCCGTGCGAATGTCGTAGGTTCAAGGGGTATAAGGTGACTGCCAGTACGACTGGCTATAACCCATCATCGAGGTGATGCGTGCCTGAGAAAGCCACCAGAGAGGTTGCCCGTGGTATCGACTGTCTTCAATGGGGGGTATTGGGACAAAAAGAGACTGCTTGCCGCTTTTAAGGTAAGCTGAGAGTTCGTAGCGATCGTGACAACGAGATGTAAAACAGATATGAGACATTGAAGAGAGTCAGCCGGCTGGCAATGACACTGCGAGATTATTGCTGATGCGGGAGGTGATGCGAAGCGTATTGCATGGGCTGCTGCATAGTCTGCTGCATCGGTGGTTGCATTTGCTGTTGCATTTGTTGTTGCATCGGCTGTTGCATGTGATGTTGGTGTTGTGGCATTGGCTGCAGCATAGACTGGATGCTCGGTACCCGTTGCTGATGTTGGTGTTGATGTAACGGGTAGCTTGGGTATGCGGAGTAATGATTTTCGGGAATCGTAGACATGCTATGCATTTCCACATGGGGATCCTCTTGTTCTTCTTCCAGGTCAGAAATGCCTACGCCACTATCTTCATGGTCGTGGTAGGTACCATTCTCGAGCTTCTTTTGTGCCGACCTAAAGGCCTGAGTGAGGTTCTTGAGACCCTTCTCCATGCACTGAGTAGAGTCAACACCAGGTGCTTCAAAGAGTACGAAATCACGCATGACATACCTTTGTCTCTACCAGTTGCCATTTCTCTCCAACTCGGGCAGCTAACATGCTCCACATGTCCCTTCGAACTTCCATATAGGCTTGCGCTAGTACGTCCAGCTTCACGCCGTCCCACTGCTCCGCATTTTGCCTCTCCATCAACCGTTCGTGCCGTTTGCGACAGGCATTTGGCGTCTTGGAAGGGAAGTGCTTCGGTCCAATCTGGTTCCAGTTGAGACCTTGAGCCCTGGCCTGAATGAGCGTCTCATCATCTCTAGCGGACCAAGAGGAACTGCGAGTTCCGCCTGCGGCCGATGCGGTCGACACGGAAAGGCGGTGCGCCGGGCCCTTTTCAATCTTAGGCATGTTGACCAGTTGAATGAAAAGACTAGTAGGACAAGAAAGTGATGACGAGAATGGAGATAGGAAAGACGCGGCGAGGAGGAAGATGAGAGCAATGGAAGCGACCGAGTAGCGTATTATGATTAGGGGAGTGTTGGCGTAGGCGAACGAGAGTGACGGATGAGGAACGACAGGTAGGAGATATCCTTGCGAGTAGAAATGAAACAACTGCTGTTCGTACCTTTGGGTCTGTATTGTCTGAGGCTCTATCAAGGGGGCATGGCCAACATCTTTATACAGTGAGCCGCATACAGAGCCTCCATCCACGACAAAGACCAGTAGGCCACTCGGAGAATTGTTTTGAAACCAGGACATGTTTCTGTAATCGCCGGATCGATCTTCATCTACCGAGAACGGCATGTGCGACTAGGCGAAGAGGAGGCTGTTCACTGGGTCGTGGCTCCAAGCGCCATGAAAAGGGACCAGGGCAGGCCCAAATTGGGCCTGTGAATGGCCGAAGCACAAACCGTGAGCGGTTCGTCCCTCGAACAAGGAAGGGGGACTATAGCGGAAGCGCCTGTTTGAGAATATCCCACTGTGTTCCCTGATGCGGCTGTGTCTAAGAATATCCCCGCTGGCGAGTGGTGGAGGGGCAGCGATGGAGGGGAAAGGGCGGCTAATCTGATTCGGCGAGCGCATAAGTAGGGCCCAAATAAAGACCTTGGCAAGCGACACAAGGGCAAGGGGTGCCTCATCTGGTCGAACACCTGTAGGATGTCGTAGTCATCAATAATCAGTAGGGCTGAGCTCGGGGACCTGCAGATAGATGCATGTGCAGAAACGTGGAGTGGAAGGTCAGCAACCCGTTCCAAAGACGTTTTCGAAACGGCGCACTGAGCTCAGGGAGTTCAAGGGAACCTTGGAGGGCTTGAGAATAGCCGACCTCAAGACGCAAAAAGAATATGCGGCCGCCCGATAGCCCGCGAGGCGCTCACGACAGGCGCGGCCACTGGATGGGCGAGTGTGGGTTGTGGGTCTCAGCAAACACGAATTCACATCACAGCGGGACCGCGGGAAGAACCGAAAGCACGTTCTGTCCAAGGCTCCCATGAGAAGCGCCCGCGAACTGCTGCCGGCCGTTGCTGTGCCTCTGACGAACTGGAGCTTTGGAGATCAATGCCTGACGTGCTGTAGCAGTGTTTCGCAAGTGCGGTACCGCGTCGCTTGCAGCTGCATCGGATTCGACGGCACCTGCAACGCAGACCTGTGTGGGTGCAGCAATGCCGCGCTTTACTATGTAGGTATTCTAAGTAAGGGCATAGCCAAGCCGTAGATGACTAGAAAATGCGTTTCGGTAGTGCATCATACAAAGAATTTCTCGGTTCGACAAGCGGTCATGTCGTACCAGAGAAGCGTTCGTCTGACGCTGCAGCGTGGCCTTTCACACAGCCCCAACCTCGGCATCCGAACTCACCAGAATCGATAAACAGCATGCACCAAGCCTCCTCACCCCAACATCGTCACTCATTGCAATTCATTCACCATTAAACCGCGGAAAGAGCACTCCGCACCGTGTGCCCGGAGAATAGCAATAAACATTCTGGATCGAAGTTGGGTATGGTCCATTAAGAATAGCAACTGCTCAGTACCCCAACGAATGTGTTTCGGTACCCATCCAGCTGGTCACTCTGTTGAACCAACTGTCGTGTGCCCCGATGGTCCCGAGGTCCTCTCCGAG